CCAGGTTTAAAAAGGGTTTAAAAATAGGTTTAAAAGGGTTAAAATAGGTTAATATAGATAAAAATAGGTTAAAAATGCAATGTTAAAAGGGATTAAAAAGTTAGAAGTTAAAATAAAAATAAAAGAAAATAATAATAATAAAAAAGCTTTTGCTTTTGGAGGAGCTCTTTACAGCCTTTGCTGCCTGTCCACCATCTTGACTTATACCCATTCCTTTTAAACACACAACCTACATATCATTTAATGGCTTAAGAAATGTTAAGCTGTTGGTTGATTTCTTTTCTTGTCAGGTTTCTTCTTTTGCTGGTTTGAATTTTGTAGCCTAATCCATAGGAAAAGACTTTTTAATTAATTTTTAGTTAATTGTTCTGTCAGGAAATTTCTCCTTATTTCTAAGTTGGTTCTTTTCTTAGTTAGTTTTCATCTATTTCTTCTTGGTCTACCTTCAGATGCTTTGAAAAATAGTTGACCCCCTCTTCTTTGTGGCAGCCCCTGAAATATTGGAACCATGCTGTCATCTCACCCCTAGTCCTTTTCACTAGACCAGTGATGGCGAACCTTTTAGAGACTGAGTGCCCCAAAACCGCCTCGCCCACCCCCCCACCTCTCCTGCCCACAGGGCCAACCATCACCTCCACGGCCTGCCACAGATCGCCATGGCTGCCCTGCAGCATCATGGCCACGCCCTCTGCCTGCACCCTGCAGCATCTGTATGCGATGGGGCGCGAGGGCGGAGTCTTGTCCCTGCTGCCCAGCTGTCATGTCCTTGGCTGTGCTGCTCTGTGCAGGCTGCGCCCGAGGTGACTCTCCTCCAGGAGGGCTGCTGGTGAGGGGGCCACGGGGTGGCGGGGCTGGGGCGACGGCATGCATGCCCACAGAGGACTCTGAGTGCCGGCTCTGGCACCCGTGCCATAGGTTCGCCATCACTACACTAGACAAACCCAATTCCTGCAACAGTTCATGTTTTAGCCTCCAGCCCCCTAATCATCTTTGTTGCTCTTTTCTGCACTCTTTCCAGAGTCTCTACATCTTATAATATTGTGACCAAAACTGAATGCAGTATTCTAAGTGTAATCTTACTAAGGCTTTATAAATAGGTATTGTTTATAAAATACTTCATGTAATCTTGATTCTATCCCTGTTAATGCAACCTAGGATTGTGTTGGCTTTTTTAGCTGCTGTTGCACACTGCTGGCTTATGTTTAAGTGATTGTCCACTAGGATTCCAAGATCCCTTTCACAGTTGGGCCAGATTTCGCCTAATCTGTACATGTAAATTTGATTTTTGTTGCCTAAGTCTAAAACCTTATTTTTCTCTACATTGAATTTCATTTTGTTAGATAGGGCCCAGTGTTCAAGTCTGTTGAGACTCTTATGTATCTTGACCCTGTATCTTTTAGAGTAGTGGCTATTCCTGCTATGTAAATTTGATAAGATCCCCTTCTATTCCCTCATCTATTTTTTTTATGAAGAGTACTGGGCCTAAGACAGAACCTTGGGGTACCCCACTAAATACTTCCCTCCATGTAGATGCAATTCCATTAAGGACTACACATTGAGTGCGGCTGGTCAAGCCAGTTACTAATCCATCTGGTGATGATGCTATCTAATTCACATTTTTCTATCTTAATCTAGTAGTAACTTGTGGTCTGCTTTATCAAATGCCTCACTGAAATCCAAGTAAATTATGTCCACAGCATTTTGCTGGTCCACTCATTTAGTCACTTTATCGTATAATTTGTCTGACATCTGTTTTTGACAAAACCATGTATGTCATGATTTTGCTTGCCTCTAAGTGTTCACAAATTGATTGCTTATCTTTTCCAGAATCTTCCCAGGTATTGATGTCAGCTGATAGGTCTGTAGTTTCCTGGATCCATTGTTTTTCTTTTTTTGAAGATGGGAACCACATCAGCTCTTTTCCACTCCTCTGGTAGTACCCTGGTGGTCTAGGATCTTGAAAGATATAGTTCTGAGATAACATCTGCCAGCTCCTTCAGAATTGTATGTTTTATGTAAGGCCTAACTCTGAAAATTCAACATTAAACGTCTCTTTTCCCTATAGGGGCATATAGTTGAACCAAGAGGACCTCGAGATTTTGGATGGGATCCTTGCTTCCAGCCAGAAGGCTACACTGAGACGTAAGGGAATATATTCTCCTTAGTTATAACGGGTCGGTAAAACTACCCAGTCACTGTTGTACATTCAAGTATTAAGAAATGTGCAAATTCTGTTCTACAAAATACCAATTTTTATGAATGTATTTGTCAGCAGGCATTTGGATTGTTCTATTATTCTATTCTATTTAATAATAATGGATTTAGTACAGGTGTTCAATTGGCAATTCCCGTATCTCCTGAGAAGAGGATTTGATCAAATTGTTCCTTAGCTTAGGACTCAACATTTAAGTCAAGAAATAGAGAGTAAATTTAATTAATACATTTATAATATCACCTGCTCTAGATGAGTAGGCTTTGCAGTTTCTCATGATGAAGTTCCAGGTTGTCTTTTGCAGATATGCTGAATTGCCCAAGTATGTGAAGAACTCTCTCTCTCATCGTTACAAAGCTTTGAAAGAGCTGTCTGCCTATTTTGTTCAACACCACAACCCAGCAGAGAGCCTATCTTGTTCTAGTTAAACTGTCTGGATCTGTGAAATGTTTTATATATATATTGAAATTAAAACCTAAGGGTCTTTCTGCTTGTACAAATCATGATCAATAAACCTACTCATTTTAAAAAAGATTGTGTGTGTTGTCTTTCTGTTCCTGAAATTTGTGGTGAAATACTAAGATTTTCATTCAGGATAAAAGACGAATTCCAGATGATTTTTCAAACACTTATGTAATATTCCGTTTCCCCCCTCCCCCCCAAAAATTCAGTTATCATAATGCTGCAAACTGCCCATCTCATAGAACAAGTGACTGGGTAGCTTACAAGTTATTAACAATTAAAAAATAAAAAACTATTAAAAACCGAGACAAAGTAAAAAGTAGACAAAGGGATAGCAGAGCTATTTTATTTATTTTTATGTCTTCTACATTCATGGGCTCAAACCAGTAACTATTCGTCGGTATACAAGTGAAACCACATACCTGATTCATATACTGCATTACATCACAATATATTGTGTAATTTTGAGTTACCACATTCTCTGAATGCAGCGACTGTAGAAATACAGTTCTAAAACATCACGTGAACCAAATCAATTATGGCGAGTTCAACAAACCAGGCTTATGCGATTAGTAAACCCATTTACCCTTAACACATCTGTACCATGCACGGCTTTTTCAATTGGTCAGGAGGAGGACTACAGGCTAAAGGAAAGTCACTCTTTGTGATCCCAATTCCGCTATCGTCGACCGTCTACTCCGCTTCCTTCTAATAGCTGTTTCAGCTCGGCGCGCGTCCGCCACCGCCTACCAGGCGAGAATCGCTACTACGGTAGCCGAGAGGGTTCACGTCACTAGGGGGGCCGTCGCGCTTCCTCGATATCCCGGACCCTCGGCTCCACCCCTTAGTAGGCGCGCCGAGCGATCGATGGAGCAACAGCTGACGATAACTCCTCCTCTTCCTCGGACCGGCCATTTCCGCACCGGCCTAAAAGGGAAACAGGTGAACGAGGGAATAAATAAAGGCGCGCGGGGAGGGAGGGGGTGGATGATAAGAGGAGGCTCTCGAGTTTGGTGGGCGCTGGCTCGTGGGAAACTGGATCCGGGAGGAAGCCGAAGATCCCTTTAGGAGGAGAGAAAGCAAGTATCCCGGGGGCGAGGCAGGAATGGTGAAATGGCCAATAGGGAAAGAAACTGGCAGGCTGCTGCGCAGTCCGGAGAGGACGAGTGTCTCGTGTGAGGGCTTATGGAAGAGCGGGATGGACAGCTGGAGAATTAAGACTCCCGGAGAAGAAGACCGCGCGAGTGAGAGATGAAGACAAGGAGTTTTAGAGGAGCAGTCGTTTTATTTTATTCAACAGTCCTCTAGATGGGACACTGTAAGCTTGAGGGGAGGGGGAAGGAAGCTAGATAAATAATTGTTAAAAGAGGTAGATTGGATAGAAATGTATTTAAAAGACATAGGAACTCGTGTACACTTGTGTAGAGAAGAATTATAGAACTATGTGTAAAGATTGGGCAGAAGCAGTAAGGCTACATTCCATGTTGGTAATGCAAATTAAGGAAGATGGAATTCCTGAAGCTATTTAAGCTTCAGATTGAAAAATGGATTTGTCCTTAAATCTCCCTGCATCCAGCCATTGTAGGTCACAAAAGCATACCATATATTTTAACATTCTTTTCAATGCTGAGGTATCTGTTATTGAGCAAATTACAGTGCAGTCTTTTTGCCTAATCTATTTAAGTATTCAAGACATTGTAGATGGTAATAATGTAATGGTTCATGATATTTTATATTTTGCAAGTAGTATTTTGATGTATATGTCAGAATCCAAATATACTCCATCTGTAGTTATCAATTATGAAACCCCGCATTTCTGTCTGCTCTGGATTCTGTCATACGATGAAGGGAAGGGGGTGAACAAAGGGGCTTTATGGCCCTCACTTCCTTCAGCCTACTTCAAAGGGACTGGATGTGGAATCACCAAAAGGACTAACAATAACAATAGGGGGTCATTAGNTGAGACTGTCTCTGGGAGAAGGGGGTGATGGGGGTGGCTAAAGGGGGGACCCCTTTAAAATCTTGAGTTGGAAAGCTTTCACCCCAAGTCCTGTTTAGAACGCCTGCAACCATCTTCTCTTAATAAAGATGCCTATTGGAAGAAATATTCCAAGAGTTCTGTCTTCTTAAGATGCAAAGTGGGGTAGGTCCTTACAGTATCATTGGTGTTTTGGGTGACACTTGAAATAGATCAAAGGCATATTCTGCACACAAGGTGCTAAGGAGTATTGGTAGAAAAAGCATTACTTTCAGGCTTTGTAGATTTCCTTAAAGCATCTGACCGTTTTTGAAAATGAAAATTTCAAAAATAATGATCTGATTAAAAAATAATCCTAGCTCAAGTGGTTAACTGGGTGTACAAAAGCATAGTTGGAAGTAATGGTAGATTGAAAAGACTTTCCTTTCCCTTTAAACAGTATATAGAAAGCCAACTTTTTTTTCTAGCCAGTCCTTTGAAAGTGTTGCTGATTAAAAAATTGCATATTATTAATGGGGATAGAAGAAATTATTTTAAAATAACATTTACATCTCTTCCATTCGTGCGACCAGAACCAATAACCATGACATTTTAAAATACTTTCATGTGTAAAAGGCTTTAGGAACTAATGGGGATTTAATTAATACTCATATAGTTAGAAGAGGGATATATTTTACAATTTAAACTTAATCCTGGATTTGAACAATATTTGCAATAGTTTAAAAATAAAATAATCTATTCATGAATTATAAAATGGTACTTCAAACTATACTGGAAATATAGTTTCTTTCTTCTTATAAACAGAAGAACACTGATATCCACTGAAGATGTTACTTAGCCTGGTAATGAAACTTTCAGAAACCAACTCACAAGCTCGGAGAACAAATCTTCACTCTTATACTGGAAATTCCCAGATCTCATATTGTTTTCATGTAATAATTTGTATTTGCAGTGTTATGCAGGCATCATTGTAGCCAGTCTTTAAATTCTTACAATTTGAGAACTAAAACCTGACAGAATGATTAGAATGTTTTTTTTTTCTACTAGGACAAAAAAATAGCACTGGTATGAAAACATGCCTCCAAAATTCAAGCGCCACCTCAATGACGATGATGTTACTGGGTCAGTCAAAAGTGAGAGGGTGAGTGTATAGGGGATAGTTATCTTGGTATGATTTAAATGTGTGACCTGCTGGTGAAATGGCTGTAATAATGCATTTACAAGATTCTCGGAAATAATTTCTAGGAGTTGTATAATATTTAAAGAAAACAGCTTTTTATCAAGTTCAGAACTGATACTACTACTACATTCTTGTCACAAGCATCTACCAAGTGCTTCTAAATTGAAAGGATTAGCCAGGGACGTCACCATTAACCAGGTGATGCCCGAGGGAGCTCTTTTCGTGTCCCTGTTACCTTCCCACTGAAGTGGTACCTATTTATCTACTTGCATTTCCATAGTTTCAAACTTCTAGGTGGGCAGGAGTTAGGGCAAATTCAGAACTGATGAACCTGTGGTTTTCAAGATGTTAGTGAACTATCAATAATGAGGGATACAGAAATCCATCATTCCTTACAAGAAAATCTGAAGGGTCTACAGATCCTCATCTCTAGTTTTTTAATACATAGGATAGTATTGCTAACTAAATTGGTCTGAACTTTTCAAAAGAATAGCAGGATCTGTTAAAAGTCTAAAGTAGTGATTTGCCAAGTATAGTCCACTATAGCCCCTTAGCATTCACTATCCAGCAACCGAGAAGGGGAGTGAAGGGAAAAAGCAAGCTCTACTATCTGCAGCTGTTGTTTCTCAAGTTGTTGGAACTCAGATCAATACTTTTCTGTATTTGTGATCTTATTGGCACATGACTTGCAGGGTCCATTCAATCCTCCACTGGTTGAATGATGAAACCAGTCTTCACTTTAATATGAGATGGTATTAGGGGAATTGTATACATTTGTACAGTTAGATTGAGATAACTGTTGATCCCCCCTCACCCAAAGAATCTCTTTTTTTTTAAGATCATGGGAAAGATTGAAATTCTGGCAAAACTAACTAGAAATATTAAGCAAAAGCAATGAAACTATTATTTTAAATCTCAAAAACAAAACTATGTCAGGTATTTGACAAAACCAAGATTGGGACTCTTAATTATTTTTACCTTTCAAAGCAATTTTTCGGAGCACCAAATACACTTGCAAATAAACCAAGATTTTAGGTGCCAACATACATCCAAAAAATTGCATTTGTCTTACATGTGAATGCACTTATCAACAGGTGTATATACAGTAATAGTTTTTAAAAGTACACATATTTCCCATATATATTCATACGTCCATCCACAAATATATAAGCCCTCAGATTTTTAACCAAAATACCATGAAAAATGCAGGTCACCTTCTCCATGGTGACACATTTTTCATGGCATTCTGATTAAAAATTTGAAGGTTGGCTTATGTATAAATGGACTTATTCACAAGTATATATGATTTATTCAAAAGGAAGACCTAATGATTCTGTCTTGTATTGTCTGTGGATATCTGATACAATACATCAGTGATCCCCAGCCCATGGACCAATATAGGTCCATGGCCTGTTAGGAACTCGACTGCATAACTGAAGGTGAACAGCAGGCGAGGGAGCGAAGTTTCATTTATTTGTAGCTGCTCCCTAGCGCAAGCATCACCGCCTCAGCTCCACCTCAGTTCATCAGGCATTAGATTCTCATAGGAGCACAAACCCTACCGTAAACTGCGTATGTGAGGGATCTAGTTTGTGCACTCCTCCCCCCCCCCGCCGGTCCATGGAAAAATGATTTTCCATGAAACCGGTCCCAGTTACCAAAAAGGTTGGGGACTGCTGCCATATATTGTGTCAACGGCATTACATTCTGACAAACATATTGATTAATGACTCAGTCTAGACCAGGGGTAAACCTTGGCTCTTTTATGACTCATGGACTTCAACTCCCAGAATTCCTGAGCTAGCTATGCTGGCTCAGGAATTCTGGGAGTTGAAGTCCACGAGTCATAAAAGAGCCAAGGTTGCCTACCCCTGGTCTAGAAACACTCTTTTGAAATTTATTTTTGAATGAAAATACCGATTAGTAGAAATATTCTTTTTCATAGATGTATCAATCTTTGTGTTTGCAGAGAAACCTTCTAGAGGAAGATTCAGATGAAGAAGAGGACTTTTTCTTGTAAGTGTCTCCAAACCAGAGTAGGGATAACTATCGAATCCTAGGTCCTGTGCACTATTGTCTCTGCCTGTTCTACATGCTTTGATCTCAAGGATTCCTTATAAATACTAGGCAAAGTATTGTACAACTTACTGTGGTTGTTTGTCAGTAATAGCTACTACAAACTCTTCAGTGTATGACTCTGCCAGATGTTTTTACATAGGTTCCAGAAGTGGGCTGTTTCTTCTGAATGTATAATGCTTTCAGATTTCAAACATCTGTTTGTTAATCAGCCCTAAGATTTGCCACTCATCTTGGAAGATAAAGGTAACAATTTAACTTTTTAAATTATTTTGTAGGAGAGGGCCATCAGGGCCAAAGTTCGGATCCCAAAATGACAAGATCAGACAGTGAGTATTTTGTGGCATGTGAAATCTATTTTGGCTTAATTTTCATGTCCAGCTAATATAGCTGTTCTATGATCATACTTTATCAGGTGAAATGAATTACTAGTTTCTAGATTAGAGCTAAGCTTGTTCATAAAATAATGAACATTGTCTTTTTGAAAAATCACATTTCTTTCATTACTTTAATATTTTAAAATGTATCTTTTAGACAATCTCCCTCTTCTATCTTTATGTATACATTCTTGTCACTATGGAATTTCACAGAAGAATATAAATAATAGACTCAAAGTGGTAGAGAAAATTAATTAAAAGTAGGAAAATAATCAACTTTATTAATTATTGAGGAGTAACAAATGTAATTTATGCTGTATGCTTTGGCAAAGTCCTAGTTAATAGTTTCTTTTGTTGGGAATTAGAAAACTATCTTCCCTCATTGCACATTGTTCAATTTATTTCCTTTGAGCCAGCATCTTACATATCTATTGTAACGCAGGACAGAATCCGCAGCCTTCTAAAAATACAGGTATTGTAGTCCTTGTTTAGTTATGACAACTCAGTTATTAAGCAAAATGGTTGCTAACTGATCTGTGACTGTGCTTATGATCTTTCTTTCCTTTGTTTTACAGACCTGCAAAGGTCGTAAATGCAAGGAATAGTTGCAAAGATATATCACTGTGAACATTTGCTAAACAAGGCAATCACTAACTGCCTTTCTTTGCTTTCTTCTTTTTTAACTGCTTCCATATATATGAAAGCTATATATTTGTTTTTACCTATATCATATATGGGCAACCATTTTATAACTAAAGGGGACACAGATTTGTGTTTCTGAAGACTAAAAGGGACACAAGGGTGTAGCAGCAAGTTGACAACATTGAAGTGGACAGATCTATTTTTATTTTCCAGTTGTAGAGAGGGATTAGAAGGAATGCAAGTGGCATGGATATAGTAAACCATTCAGAAACTCTTAGTTCACCCACCTTTTTAGTTCTCCTCCTTCCCTACTGACGTTATGAAGCTTTGACATAATTTTATTGCTCTTGTTAAAATACTTAATGGCAGGAGCCAAGGTGCCTAGTTCCCCTTTCATTGAACTTTTAAATTGCTAAGAGAGGTGGTTACTTTAATTAAAAAATGGGTAGGCAAAAGTATGGAAACAAGGTGATTTTATACTATATAACAGAGTAACAGAGTTGGAAGGGACCTTGGGGTTTGCTAGTCCCCCGCTCAAGTAAGAAATCCTCTAGATTTTCAGACAAATGGTTGTCCAATCTTTTCTTAAAAGCCTCCTTCATTGGTTGGCTGGAAAAAATTTTGACCACCTCATGGAAAGCTATACTATATTATTAAAGCTAAGATTGGATTTCATGAGCAGCTTGAGAGATGGAGGGACCACATATAGTGCTTTAGAAGAATAAAAAGCTGTGGCCTGCCTGTAATTCTTTTTCAAATGCATAATTTTTATTCCTTCACTCTCAGTAATAAACAGAAAAAACGAAGGAAGTGGGATATTATGATGTATTCCCATATCACAGCTATTAAAGACAAGGAGCTCCATCCCGTTAAGAGTATTCTCATCTAATTTTGTGCTTTAGTTTTATTCTTTTCCCCCCAATATGCCAGGAATCTCTTGTTGTAGTGCCAGTAGAAGAGGTGATACTCTGATCGCTAACATAACTTTATGCAATGAAAGACACAGGAAATGAAGTAATGTCCAATTATGTTACTAATTGCCATTTCCTTTGCCTGTTATAATCATTGCTGTATTTGATGGGATGAAGTAGTATGCAGAAAACAACCTATCTCAGTTTGGAATCTGGGTTAGCTAGACATTAGGAATATGAGTTTGAAGTGTCACATTTTGACCTACTTCTAACTTGTTTGGTAGAAAGCCAATGAAGAAATGAATATCATCACTATAGTGATGATCCCCAGCTCAGTATTTTTTCAGTTGGTGCCATGTATGCTCTGAAAGTTTTGAATGTGGGATGCAATGTGTGAATTATTAAACCGAGTCTTCATCTGGGGAAACCAAATCAGGGCAGTATAGTCATTAAATGACTTTTGGAGCTATTACTGTTTTGGATGGAGTTTCATATCCTCTTCAAACTAAGTCCGATATTACACCCTCCAGTATGTACTCTCTTCTTCTGGTAATAACCATTTTTCCACACTAAGCAAATACAATTCTTATTGTTGTTAGTAAATATACAATTGCATATCAACATTTGTTACGTTTTTCTAATAGTGTCAATAATATCAGTTTAGAATATCTTTTCTAACCAAAGCATATATTAATTGCACTTGCACTCAATTTTCATTTTTTTAGTCCATATCCTATTTTCGCTTTTTTCAATTTTAATTTCCCATCCATGTTCAAAGTATCCCAATCATTTATAATTTCAAAACAAGTTATATTTGAGTAACCAAAATCTTCACTTATTCAAAGTTCTTAGCATATTCTTATTTCCCTTTTCATAGCAAGATATGATATTCTGATTATAAATCTTGTTTATCTAGTTATACTAATACTTCTATTTCTAGCAATCTATTCTTAACCATATTCAAACATCTAATTGGTAATATAGCATCCCCTCTAATAGGTCAAAGCTTCTGTTTCCTTCAATCTTACTCTAGCTTTGTTCCTTTGCCGACTAACTTTCCAAGTCAGTGCATTTGCATCATCAAATAATTCTTCCTCTATTTTTGTATATATTATTTGAAACAAGAGAAACAATTTAGTTAAACTATTTTTGGAAGAACTAGCCTGTTGATATTCATTAAACAGCCTCCCTCCTTCTGCAGTTCCCCACAGTTCTGTTAACGGCTTTATCTTCCATTCCATCAGCTCTCCTTCCTTATCCTCCAGTATGTTCTGAAACCTTGGTTTGTAAAATGTCTTTTCCGTATCCAATATTATCGTTATGTCTTCTAAGTCTTCATTTATCTGAGTCTGGTTGTTAGTTTCTTCCTTTAGATCCTCAATGCTTGTGTCAGCATTCTCTAGTTTTCCTTCTATTTTCTGGGTTGCTGGTTCCTTCTCTGTAGTTATTTTCTGAGTTTGTAGATTTAAATTAGAAAATTGTTTTTTTATCTCCTTTATGTTATTATTAACCTGATCACAAGCTAAAGCAATTGTTTCTTGTATTAATTTCAACATGGAGAGAATTTCTTTCTGTGGTTCATCAGTATTTTCTTGGTGATATGGCAAACTGAGGCTTCTGGAAAGAGATATTAAGGATGGTTTTTTACTATTTAGAGCTAAATATGGAACATGCATTTTATTTTTTTGTAAGTATCCAACCAGCTAGCCATTCCTAAACCTCTCCTAAGCAGATATATGTAAAATTCAAATTGTTCTGTCCAATGAAAAATATATCCTTTCTGTCCAGGGAGAAAAACCATTAAAGGTTGTTTAACAATCAAGATTTATAATCCAAAGTGTCCCCTATGTTTCTTCTACAGGAAAATAGTTCCACAATATAGTTCTGAAAGTCAGTATTTGTGTTCATAATTCAGACAGGCCAATTTTAGAGTAATATTATCATCTCTGCCACACAAATAAGCAGCCCCCAAGTCTTCCTTTTTTCTCAGCTGCAATTCTCAATAGTAAAAGCTTCCAAGGCCAGCCAATGTCTTATCTAATTCTGGGCTTCGAGCCAGGTTTCTTTTAGGCATAAATAAGTTGTAGTGGCGTAATTCACCATTAGATGTCATCAATGCCGTTTTTCAGTTTTTAAATCCAAACCTTATATATTTGTTTTCGTAGATTTTCATGGGTACAGGTATGTAGGTCTTGGTGTACTCAGGTGTTTTCCCGTGTAAGATTGAGAGTATCTTGGCGACGTTTCGACGAGGTCCCACTCGTCATCTTCAGGCTGGGGTCTTTGGCTTCGTGCCTGTGCGAGCAAAGTGTGATCGGAGCTGCCATCTCTCTATAAATACTGGTGGGGGTGGGTGGAGTGCTGGCTTAGTTGCTGTAGGGGGATTGGTTGGCTGTTATTGTTTGTGGAATGTTCAGCTGTTTCGTAACATCCTGAGTACTTGAGGTGCTGGCTGTGTGCCCATTAGTCTTTTATGTTATAACAACCTGGGTAATGGGTTGTGTGATTACATCCTGAGATCTAGTGTAGTGATATCCTGAGTTTTGTGTTTCAACATCCTGGGTGGTTGGCTGTGTTGTAACCTCCTGAGCTTTAGCATTGTAACCTCCTGAGTTCTGTGATGTGGTGTCCAGAGCAGAAGGCTGTGATGTAGCATACCGGGCTTTGGTTTGGCTCCGAGTTTGCGGTCTAGCTCTGTGTTCATGGCGTGTGTCTGTTTGCTTTGTGTGGGGGTCGGAGGGAGGTGCAGCAGCTGGTGATGTTGTTGTGGTTTGGCTTCTGGATGGTGGTTGCATTTCGTCTGAGGGATGGGCTTGGGCTTGGGTTTGGGTCTGGTGAGGGTGAATGGTGGTGGCGTACTGTGTTCCTTTCCTTTCCCTCTCTCATCGGGGAGAGTGCTTTGGGCAGATTTTCAGGAAGAGGTCTTTAAAATCATAAAGAGAGGATCAAGTTCATACACGTTGCTGTAAGATTGCTTGATAGTGCTTTTCGTCTTCCGTTGTCAGCAGCTTTGGACTGGCTACACGAATGTAGCCAGTCTTTCCCCCACTGGTTTGGAGGGCTTCCTCGGATCAAACAGGAGGGCTGCCGCCCCCCTGCAATCAACGAGGGTCCCCTTCTTGCTTGCCGCCTCTATGGGGCGACTTTCAACCCTTTCCAGGGTTCCCCAGCAGGGCAAAATCAAACGCAAAAGATGGAGTCCCATCTTCCTGCGTCTGCTTCACTGCAATGTCAAAACCGGAAGCCCCCCTTCCTTAGACTTTTCTACCAGCTAACATTCTTAGACAGAGCAGCAGATGCCTGGCAGTATATTTTAATGGCTAGAGATGAGGGAGGGAAGATATTGCAAAGACTCTGCAAGTTCCCATATGTCACATCTACATTCTCCTTCTGCTTTTAAAGAGCAAATCATGATTTCTATGTATCTTCCTATAGAAGGCAAATTTGACCACCATAAAGTCTGTTTAGATTGTTGCACTATGACTATACTCTGTATTGGGCTGCTTTAAAAAATGTTTAATCTATAGCTAATACAAAATAATAGCTAGTTTAGTTGTTAATGCTGTTTAATCAATGTATATTAGCTTTGCAACAACTTTTTTAATTGCTTTTTTTTAAAGCCACAATTGAAGATTCTTATTCTTACCTACAAAGATGCCGGAATATCTAAAATATTGTTTGTGAAACTATTGTAGGCATAAATGTGCACTTGAGAATTCAAGAAAGGATGAGCAGTGTGGTTAGTGGGGATCTAACAAGTATTATACTTTGATATATACTCTTTATATGCTTACTTGCATGCTTACTTACTTTTCAATTTATTCAATAAGTTGAGTTCAATTTAAGTTCTATCTTAATCATGCTTCAATATTGGATTTGGGCAGATAATTATCAATTCAGATGCCTATTTGAAAAACAAATTGACATGTTGCTATTTATAGTACATTATTTAATAGTTAATATAAAGAATTTAAAGTCTTTGCACACTAAAAATATTTGATGTTAACTATATCTCACTCAATTCAGACTCAGAGCTGTTGAATAAATTGAGCTACAGCTCCCATCATTCCCACTCAGCATCTAGATTACATGTGCAGGATATCAATCAGTAGCATTTTCTGGTATTAATGATAAATTCCTTGCTCATGTGATGCATCCTTATGTGTATTTTTAAATCAGAGTTCAAAACCAGGTTGATGAAGTTATTGATGTCATGCAAGAAAATATCACCAAAGTGATAGAGAGAGGAGAGCGGCTGGATGATTTGCAAGATAAGTCAGGTAGGTACTTCCCTTTTAGAAGTGAAACTGAGTTCCGGGAACACCGTGTCTCTCATATTACCTAATCTCAGCATACTTGGATTTCATTATCTGTTCTTATTTCTTAGGTTCCCTGTTGCATGCGTGGGGTCCTGGGTACACAGAAGTGATAGTGTTGTGTCTGTTTTAGAGTGCGCTTGTTCATGGAAAAAACGAACATGGGTGCCTTTTTTTTATTTTAAAGCTCAGAATATTTTCTCCCTTAATATTTTTACCACACTCTCTAAGAAAAATGGCTCTGAATGTCTCATAGATTTATGAAAATGTAATCCTTGCTGCTGGAGAGACAAATGTAATCCTTGCTGCTGGAGAGACAAAAACAGCTAGTCATAGGAAATACACCTCCCACTCTTGTGCTACAGATGGGAATCCACAGCAATTAAAAGACTCTTGGTGACTTGTAGTGTCAAGTACACTAAAACATTCATGGTATGTTATTAAAAATAAAAATGGAATAGATTAAAATCATCCACAGTAATTATCAAGATGTGACAACAGTAAATAAGTAGCAATGTCTCTTAACTCGAAAGTTCTACTAAACAGCTTTGTCTTCATTTCCAAAACTACAGTAATTACAGAACTAATGATCTAAAAGAGAGCTTTTTAGTAACATAGATTATATGTAGTCCTCATTTGCCAGAGGAATTGAGATTGAAAAACTCCATTGGTAAGCAATGCAGTGGTAAGATGCAATGTTGCATGACCAGCTGACTTATGCCAACAGTTCTGGCTATCCCGGTTGCTACTGTAGACAAATCCTGTGTGGTTGCAGCATGCTGCAGTCATGTCATTGTCACTTACCATCTTCTGCTGGTTTCCCCATTGACTTTGCTTGTTGGAAACCAACAATGAAGGTTGTAAATGGCAGTCACGTGAGTACAAACAAACTTCTATGATCTTGCAATTGCAAACCAATCCCTATTCATCTGAATTGCAGTCATGTGACCGCACAGACACTGACAGTTGCAACTGCAAGGACCCATTTTTAAATCCTCCTAGTTTAGCACTGTCCTAATTTTGAACAATTGTTGAACAAATTGATGTTAGATAGAGTTTGGTTGTTTTTCTTAGATTCCCTATAAGGAATGAAATCATGCAGAATTCTCTGTTCATGATACGGATGGATCTTTTTTTAAAAAAAAATCAGGATAGAGGCAAAAGCTTTATCTTACCACTATGGTAGGCTGTTCAATTTCATTTCTCTGTCTCTTTATCTGGTGCAGAAAGCTTATCAGATAATGCAACAGCTTTTAGTAACAGATCCAAACAGCTCAGAAGACAAATGTGGTGGCGAGGCTGCAAGGTAAGGCTTATCTTGTTTCCAAAATATTGCAATTGTGGTTTATTTGACCAGTTTGGTTTATTTCTTTTACCTTTCTATACTTTGCAATTTTATCTTTTTAAATAATTTTTATTAAAAGTTTTAATTAGAACAGTAAAAGATAATACCAACTGAAGAAGAAAAAAAGAAAAGAAAAAAGGTGCAAAAAAGAGAAAAAAATAAAAAGGACTGTCTCCAAGAAAACAACTTCTCATTTTCATTACAATTTTCATAATCTCTTCACCTCTTCTTAATAAATATAAAACTCTTCATTTCATAACTCAAGTGTTAACCATGTGTTGCCCAGAAATCAGGCAACCCAATTTTAGCATGGACCTGATCCCTGAATTTGAGGGATCCCTTATCTTTACCTTTGCAAAGGAGCTTTCCACCTGAAAATACAAATCAAGTAATGCAGGCAAAGCAAATAGAATTTATTAAAGGGGAGAGTCTAGTCTTTTTATAAGTACAAAACAAATGACCTCAGGAAGCAATTGATCAAATAATAAAAAACACTGATTACATGTGAGAATTGAACAATAGAAAACATTCCAGATAACATTCCACAAGTGGCAACTTCATGGATTACATCACACCCCTTTCCCAGCTGGGTTTGTGTCTTTTTAAAACTTGTAAGTGCATTCAAAGACTTTCAGAATATACTCAGTGCTGTTTTAGTTCTGAAAAGGCAAGTTCTTGCGTACCAAAAGAAATTATCTTGGCTAAGAAGAAAATCATTCTTTCCTGAAATTAGAAAAGAGCCTAGACTGCCATGATAAAATACTAATAATGAAGCCTAAAACTCTAGATAACATATGGATCGTTCCAATACATCTTCAATCCAGGTGTCAGCAAAAAGTCCAAACAGAGCCCTTTGATAATAAATGATCCTGGTATGCTAGTGTAAGCAAACAACTAAGAAGGAGCATTTCTCCTTTAAAAAAACAAGCTCACAAATATCCCTTACTTCTACAGTAACTGTAAGGGGGGGAAAAAAAACCTTAAACACTGCATTAAGTGTAGAAGACAAATCCAATACACAACATCCAAATGCCAACAATTCCAAAGAGAATTGCTTCAAATAGCAACATATCCCATTCCATATCTTAACACTTAACTATAAACAAATCCACATTTAATTTATTTATGAAAATTTTATGCCACCCATCTGCCCCACAAGGGGACTCCAGCGGCTTACAAGTTTTAAAACAACAAAAAAATAATTAAAACATTTAGCAAATAATGTAATCCCAGTACCCTAATATAAACAATTGAGTAAAATTTAACTTAACAAAGAAGAATAAGTTCTTCTTTAAAAGGAACAAATTCACAAAATTTCTTTAAATAAAAAAAACAGTTAAATATAGAGCCAGTTTAAATGCTGTCAAATTAGGATACATAAAGTAGCTGTAAGGGAAAAACCTTATACACCATATTAAATGTAAGCAAATCCAATATACTGTATAACATTTTTCCAGTCCAAATATCAAACCAATACATTCAGATATATTAATACAATTCAGATGATTATTGATCCTTTTTTACAAATTTCTTCAATACTTTAAGCAGCATCTTTTGTAAGCAAAAAGAAATTATTCCAGTTGTTCTCTGGGATTGTCATTTTTGTTTATTTCTTAAATTTTAAAGCTTCATCCCATTTTTCTTATTTATGCTAATGCCAAATTCTTATTCAAATACTTGTTCAGATTCTCAGGTAGATTTTGTTGCATATCTTTTTCTATAACACTTTTTGGTTTTAAATATACACTCACACAGTTGCTAGGGAAATTAGCAGTTTATTCAAAGTGAAAGAGATAATATCAGATAAGAAATGCAAGCCAAAATAGAGTTTCTGAAAGAAGCTTTTAAAATTAGCAAACAGAAGAATAGTTAAAATCCAGTTTAGATTTTCAAGATCCAGGTCAGAGTGGTCAGTCGATCCAGAGGTCAGAATTCCACAAGCACAATACATGAACATCAAGCAAGATCTGGAATCATATGGTTCATTCTAATAAAGGAACATGGTTAGGGATGTCTCTTAAATCAACTCCAGACAGCTGTCTTTAATCAATAGATTTGCTCCCTTGCTTGGCAAGGAGTCTTACAGAATGTCTCTTCTCTGCTGTCCACTCTGCTTTCTGGGTGTGAGGGTTGGGTGAGCTTACATCATCTGACTGCTCCATCTGTTCAGGTAGTGCCTGTGTTTGATCAGCCTCACATGATTCTTGGCTTTGTGTCTACTGAGGTTGAAGTTCTATGGGTACTGCGGGAACAGCTTCTTACATTCAGAATCAATGTCTGAAATTGTTCCCAAGAAGGCACGATATAGCATATAATTGATTCAAAGTTCTGGTGCAATTTCAGAGTCTTTAATATTCAAAATCCCAATTTTCCCATAGTTTTTGAGCCCGTAATATGTGTAAAACTTTTTGTAGCTAAAATCTTGTCTTTTTACTGTTTATTTTAAATTCTTAAAGATTGTAAACATACATTTTCATTTTCTTATATAAAGTGTTGAAGACACCCACATGATGTTTGCAATCTTGTCACTTTGAAAGTGTCTAACTTCTTTGAAGCAGTTAGTTGACAACTTTTAAAAGTGATTAGCAAGAGAAATGCAAAACTCCTTTATAAAGCTTGTGTGCAGCTAGAGCAACTATAGCAAATTCCCTTGCCTCCCAATTCTCCCACCCTCAGAAGACTGCTGATTTGCAGTCTCCTTGTAAGGAGCAACGGTATGGAAAACAGCTTGGGCAATCTCACATCCTCTCTTTGTCCAAAGGATCCAATCTACCCATTGGTTCCTTGTTCACGGTACAAACATTGGGTCTGCTTTTTATAGAGCTGTCTTCAGTCTGCCATCTTTCCCAGAAGCCCTGTGTCTTGTAATGCTGTGAAGATTCAGCAAAATAAAAACAAAAAAATAGACTTATAGCATGTCAAGAAACCACACACAAAAACTGTTCATATTCACACTGTGTTGTAGTAATCAGTATTACAATTTCAAACTGGGTTACTGCTTAAAAGCAACCATGATTTATTGATTTACTTCATTCATACTTTATAGTATCTAAAAGTACATTATGCGTGTGCCGTGATCTGAATTTGAAGGATGCTTAGGAGTGCATGCAAGTCAATGAGCATTGGAAAAGATAGAGCATTTTGAAAGAATTGCTGCCTAGTATGACACAAGCACTCTGATGTGCTCTGAATCAACTTTTTTCCTTCAAATCTAGATTGCTGAATAAATCTATTGCTTAATAAATACAGCTAGGCCTTGATTAACTATGGTAATTGGCAATGGCAACTCCATCGCTAAGCAACATGTTCATAAAGTATGACATGTGATAGTGACTTACAATGGCAATTGCAGCAGTCCCAGTTCCCATCATTAGGTGAATCCCACATGGTCACAATATCCTGTGGTCATGTGATCACACCTTGCAACCTCCTTCCAGCTTTCCCATTGACTTTGCTTGTTGTAAGCCAATTGTTAATCTCTCAAATGAATATCATGCGACTGCAGGACACTGCAATGGCTGTAATTGTGAGTTGGTTGCCAAGTACTCAAATTACAATCACATGATTGTGGGGGATGCTGCAGTAGCCACTACCACAAGGAATGGCTATAGGGCCTCTCATTTAGCACCATTATAACTTTGAACAGTTGTTGAACGGGAACTACCTGTACTCACATTCTGGCTTAATGTGTTTTTGATCCTTGAGATTAGATTAGGTCATTTTGAAACTAGCCACTTTGAGTTATCGGAACATGTTCATTATTATTGGCATGCTGTTGAACCTGGATTAAGCTGATCAATTATGTCTACAGTTGGGAATTAATTACATACTATTCTGTGTGTTAATTTGCAGATGAAGGCAATTGTAGCTTTGGTTGCTGTTGCTGTATTGCTAATCATTATTGGTGCGTATTCCTTTCTGATATTATTGTAAATATAATAAAATAAATAAAATGTTCTGCATTGGTGATGGTACTTTGAAATAGCCTTGTGACATTCTTGATTGATAAAAAAAAAACTTACCTGTCCCTTCAGTCTTTCTGCTTTGATGTCTGTCTCCTTCTATTGTTCTATCTATTGATGTAGAAGTTTGCTTCAGATCTTTTGCTTTAATGGGGATACACTCTTAATGCTAGAATATTTAGGACAGTCCATTCAGTAATGTTTACAGTGAGGGAAAAAAATATTTGAACCCCTGCTGATTTTGTACGATTGCCCATTGACAAAGAAATGATCAGTCTATAATTTCAATGGTAGGTTTATTTTAACAGTGAGAGACAGAATAACAACAAAAAAATCCAGAAAAATGCATTTCAAAAAAGTTATAAATTGATTTGCATTTTAATGAGTTAAATAAGTATTTGCAAAACATGACTTATTACTTCAGTGGTTCTCAACCTGTGGGTCGGGACCCCATTTGGGGTCGATCGACCATTCCACGGGGGTCGCCAAGCAAGGCTGTCCGCCATTTTTTTTCCCTTTTCCGGCGGGTGCCTTACCTCCCTTGGGCTGGGCCAGCTGGTGGTCGGCCTGCTCCGTCTCTGCCGCTTGCCAGCTACGCCTCGGCCGGCGCAGGGGGCGGAACCACGCATTTGCGGCGCTCCCGGGCAGGGAAAGTCCTCGACTTACGACCGGTTGGGTAGTCCTCGACTTACGACCGGTTTAGTCCTCGACGTACGACTGGTTTAGTCCTCGACTTACAACCGGTTGGGGTCGCGGCATTAAAAAGGTTGAGAACCACTGTATTACTTGGTGGCAAAACCCTTGGTGGCAATCACAGAGGTCATGCATTTCTTGTAGTTGGCCACTCATCTCAGGAGGGATTTTGTCCCACTCTTTTTTGCAGATCCTCTCCAAGTCATTAAGATTTCGAGGCTGACGCTTGGCAGCTCCAACCTTCAGCTCCCTCCACAGGTTTTCCATGGGATTAAAGTCTGGAGACTGGCTAGGCCACTCCAGGACCTTAATGTGCTTCTTCTTGAGTCACTCCTTTGTTGCCTTGACTGTGTGCTTTGGGTCATTGCCATGCTGGAATACCCATCTATGACCCATTTTCAATGCCCTGGCCAAGGGAAGGAGATTCTCGCCCAAGATTTGATGGTACATGGCCCCGTCCATTGTCCTTTTGATGCGGTGAAGTTGTCCTGTTCCCTTAGAAGAAAAACACCCCCAAAGCATAATGTTTCCACCTCCATGTTTGACAGTGGGGATGGTGTTCTTGGGGTCATAGGCAGCATTCCTCCTCCTCCAAACACAGCAAGAGCTCGATTTTGGTCTCATCTGACCACAATACTTTCACCCAGTTCTCTGAATCATTCAGATGCTCATTGGCAAATTTCAGACAGGCCTGTACATGTGCTTTCTTTAGCAGGGGGACCTTGCGGGCGCTGCAGGATTTCAGTCCTTCACTGCATAGTGTGTTACCAATTGTTTTCTTGGTGACTATGGTCCCAGCTGCCTTGAGATTATTGACAAGATCCTCCCGTGTAGTTCTGGGCTGATTCCTCACCGTTCTCGTGATCATTGAAACTCCGTGAGGTGAGATCTTGCATGGAGCCCCAGACAGAGGGAGACTGACAGTTATTTTGTGTTTCTTCCATTTGCGAATAATTGCACCCACTGTTGTCACCTTCTCACCAAGCTGCTTGGCGATAGTCTTGTAGCCCATTCCAGCCTTGTGTAGGTCTACAATCTTGTCCCTGACATCCTTGGACAGCTCTTTGGTCTTGGCCATGGTGGAGGGCTTGGAATCTGATTGATTGCTTTCTTCTGTGGACAGGTGTTTTTTATACAGGTAAAAATCTGAGATTAGGAGCACTCTCCTTAAGAGAGTGCTCCTAATCTCAGATTTTTACCTGTATAAAAGACATTTGGGAGCCAGAAATCTTGCTGATTGATAGGGGATCAAATACTTATTTCACTCATTAAAATGCAAATGTATAACTTTTTTGAAATGCGTTTTTCTGGATTTTTTGTTAATCTGTCTCTCACTGTTAAAATAAACCTACCATTAAAATTATAGACTGATTATTTCTTTGTCAGTGGGCAAACGTACAAAATCAGCAGGGGATCAAATAATTTTTTCCCTCACTGTAGATGTAAATTTAAGAATAAATGGTAACCATTTAACCAGAATTAAATACTTTTTAGGATTAACTAATTAGGTTTATGAAGTTTCCTTGTCTGGGGTTTTGGGCAAATTTAGCTGCAATACTTTATAAACCCTAATTTATTATTTATGTTATGTTAACCTATTTAGTTATAAGTCATTAAGCAAACTATAGTTAAGCAAGCCGTGACTTACCAGTAGGCAAATCCAATATGGTAATTGCAAAGATGATTTCCAATGACTAGAATAGATAGGTTTTTAGGGTTGAAACTAGTTAATTGACAATTATTTTTACAAGTGATTTAAAAATGGTGTTTCTTATGCAGTTCCCATCATCCTCAAACACCGCACTTGACTTGGAGATGAACATTCTTGTGGACACCACTTCAGGATAATAGCAAAGCTAGCAACTGTATGATTTCAGTGGGATGTATTGTGTATATAGCTGTGAAGTGCATCCCACCCTCAACCCCCAGGGAAGCATATCCACCCAGTTCCACCAAGAGCATCCAGAGGACCTGGCAAACATGACTTTCAGTCAAGAATTAACTATACTGCCAATATCGGATCCAAAACCTCATTGTTGTTGTTACAAAGGAGACCTATATGGAATCAGATACGTCAGTATTTCATTTGTTTTTTTAAATAATGTATATATAAGTGAGTGTGTGTGTGTGTTTATAATATATGTATATATAAAATTGGTAATGTTATTTATAATTTAAATAGTTTCCTACAGCTATTGATAAAGTAGCAAGTAGAGGAAAGAATTATGGAGGGAAGAAGGAACTGTATAGTCTATATCACTGTTTAAAAAAACATTCTTTCTTCAACTAAATAATTACAAAGATGACTTTCTTATGGGGGGAAATATCCCAAAATATGGGTTTGCAAACCACCATTCTGTATTTAAGGGATTCTGAAGTTCTGTGTTCTTGCTATTCTATAAATGCATTCTAGTAAAAAAACTATTTTTGACTGCCAATATGTAGCTCTTAGTAAATTACTGAAATAAAGAAGCTTCTAATTCAGTTAAGGCAACTTAAGTTTTGCAAACTTTGAATATTTAAACAAAAAAGAATGCTCTTATTCATGCAACTACAAGCAAAACAGTATGATTTCTGCTGCAACATTAACAGCAGTGGGGTTCCTATGTGGTATATTCAGATATATGACAAAAAATGCAGCGTTTCTTTTTTATCTTTGAAGCCCAGAGTTGGCCTGAGTCTTCATCTAGGCCTTTAGCAATAGTTTTGGGGCTCCCTGGCATCTCTCTTTCTTCCATGTTTATTATTTCAACTGCTTATTATCCCATTCTCTAGGAAACTTACTTATTCATTACTGTGTGCAGAGGAATGAATGTTGCTTTCTGAGTAGGCATGGAATATCAGTGCAGAACTACTGGCATGAAAAAGAGATTGCAGATAGTCCTCAGCTTACAACCATTTCTTTAGTGATCATTCAGAGTTATAACAGCACTGAAAGCACTTATGACCATTTTTCACACTTACAATCGTTGCAGCATCCCTGTGGTCACATGATTAAAATTTGGATGCTTGGCAACTGGCATGTATTTATAACGGTTACCATGTCCCAAGATTATGTGATTACTTTTTGCAACCTTCGGATAAGCAAAGTCAATGGGTAAGCCAGATTCACTTAAAAACTGTTGTTAAAAACTGCACTGATTCACTTAGCATCTGTGGCAAGCAAGGTCGTAAAATGGGCAAAACTCACGTAACAACTGTCTTGCTTAGCAAGGAAAATTTTGAGCTCATATGTGATGGTAAGTTGAGGACTACTTGTGCAAGAAACAGCAATTAGTGTACCATGAAAGCACACTTCCTGTATTTAATTTTCCAGCTTCAAGACCTAAATAACTTAAAATGTTTGTTGTGGCAAGGTAACATATTCATATGGAGGTGTGAAGGAGTGTGTGTATATATGTATATGCATTAGAAATGTGTTTTGTATGGTTCGTATCTCATTCCATGATATAAAAGGTTGCCAAAACATGGAACATTTTATTGTATTAAAGTACAATAAAAATAAGGTCAATCACACAAAGCAAGGCAGCAAAATAATATCAGGGAACAAAATAAAAATGTCTTTGCACAATACTGGAAAATATTGTACCCTCTTCAAGTGATAATGTACCTTTTTCTAAAGCATGTAGATAAATTATCTTACATGAGCTATAAATCACTATGGTAATCATGGGGCACAAAATAATGGTTGAGTCACAGAAATGGAATGATGCTTTGTGATACTTGCAAATCAGTGTGTAGTCTTGTATTACTGGAGAGACTGGCCAGTTTTCTCAATGGCTGCATTGTATTTCCATATCTTTATCCAACTGCCCTGGGTTCTATTCATTCCAAAACTTTCCTCAAGCTTTTAAAAAGAAATGTTTTATTTGTTTTTTTTCCTTTTCATGCTGCCATTCATTTTTAAAAATCCTTTGTTGATCTTGATTACACTCATTCCTTTCAGCAGAGAAATCATTTGACATTAATTGAATAAGCTTATTTTAAGACATCTATTTTTGTCTGTGTTACTATCACTGCTATTGATTCTTTGAATTGATTTCTATGTTGTTAACTTTTCCTGGTCTTTTCTTTCTGACCTTTGGTAATTTTCTATTCCTATAATTTGCTGTTCCTTATGATCCTGCGTGCTTCTTTCTGAACATACTTTCTGGGCAATCCCCATTATTTATTTTGCACTGCTACCTTTACATTGATAACTGTTAAATCTTCTTTTTGTTACTATGTTTTCCATCTAGTTTTCCTAATTGTTTTCTTCTATAGCAGGGGTGTCAAACTGCTGGCCCTTGGGCCGGATGCGTCATGCCAAAACCGCACCCACCCCATTGCCGGCAATGGAGAAAAAATCGCGATACGACGTTGCAAGTTTGACACCCCTGTTCTATAGTGTCCTGTTGTTTCATTCTATGAACAGCAAAGAAGCCATTTTTTTTCAACATGTGGGGAGTCACTGATGGAGAAGATTAAGGTAACCGGCAAAATTTGGGATTATATAAATTCAGTCATTTAATCCATTTCCCAAATTCAATTATTTAATACAGTATGCCTTTCCTGCTAAAAGTTTGACATATATGACTATATGTGACTAATATTCTGAAGAGACTCAGACAAATAATTTGTGGAATAAGAGGGAGGAGAGGAGAAGCACAATCAGGCTTGCAACATTCTGTTATTATAGTCTCTCTCAATAAAGTATAGTTCTGCTCTTCCTCTGAAGTTGATTTTCTGATATTCCTTGAGGGGCTGATAGTGGGGAACAGAAGCTGCTCCAGAATAAACGAGAAGAGAACCAGTCACCCTTACTTCTGCAACATCAAGGAGCATGGAGAAGCTGAAGAAATATCAGTATCTGAAGAAAGAACTAGAGAAGATGTGGAAAGTAAAGGCCTAAATGGTCCAATGGTGGTTGGAGTACTTGGGGCTGTGATTCCTAAGCTGGGAGAGTGGTTCCAACATATTCCAGGAACAACGTTGAAGCTCTCTATGCAGAAGAGTGCAGTGCTGGGAACTGCTAAGATACTGCTCAGAAAACTCAAACTCCCATGTATCTGATAGATGACCAGAGATTAAGAAAGACATACCCAAAAGGGTGACACAGGATTTTTTTTTAATTGAAAAAGCAATGGCTTTATTTTTTAATTTGTTCTATTTATTAAGAAATAGGGACTAAAAACTAAGAGGACAGATAGCATTGGGGTGGGTTTTTGTTGCTTACCCTGTCGGTCATCTCCAGTGTAAGCACCCCCATTAGGACAACAAGCCAACTGGCAGAGCCACGTTTTAAAGCCCTTTTGGAAGGGCAAAATGATAGAGGTGGGTCTCTGCTCCGTGTGGCGGTCACAAGAGAAAAGGCTCTTCTAGATCTTTCCAGTCAAAGTTATAAACAAAGATGAATGAGTAAATAAACGGCCCTTCCCTTGACCCTTAGAACAGGAATTACGTCTAAAATATTATGGGGCCCATAGGAGGTGATCTGCTTGATGGTGTCTCTTGCAGAGCCTCTACTCTTGCAAGGAAGATCTGACTTTTAAAAGTTGTGGATGAGGCTATGGAACTTTCTACAGATCTTGCCTTAGAAGCATCCAAGTTCAAGGATTGGTAGAAGGAAAGAGTGGGCAATTCCTCCAACGTATTGGGGAGAAAGCTGAGATCATTAACAATTACAGCTCTCCCTTTAATTCTTACACCAAGCTGTGGAAATTGGGATACTGAAAGAAAATATCCTAGAATAAGAGAAAATTATCAAAACACTACTGTATTGGTCTTCCCAGGGTAATCTAGAAAACATTTGTATATTATAGATTTGGCCATCTTCTCAACCCTAAATTGTTTTATTCAGTTAATCTCATTTTCTAGATTCATAACAGAGTTACAAACCAACTGCAGAGGCTGAATTCACATATCAGGCTAAGCTAAAATGAGGTTGACTACTTTATGATGCCATTTACTGTGTGATCTCACCCTAAATGAAGTGATGAGAGAATTCTGAATGGCCATTCTGAATATGCTAGAATCCTCTTGAAAAAACCTGGTGGAGAGATCACTTTTGCCAAGTCCAATTAATCTTGTTAAAGCAGATCTTCAAAAGGAATGTTTTGGAAGCACAGAAGACTGCAAGAGAAAGAATGAATCATGGTGTCATCATTTTTCTAGTCAGGGTGAGAATCTGCTAAGTGGTTCTCTTAATAGAACCCCGTCTATTTTGATGCATGCATCTATTTTTATAATAAAACGTATTTATAAAATACCCAAAATGTATGTATTTGTGATGTTACATCAACTTACAAAATAGAGGTTCTTTTTAAATGGTGAATATTAAATACTGTAGAGCAGGGATCCCCAACCCCCGTTCTGTGGACTGGCACCAGGCTGCAGCATGCCAGAAACCGGTCTGCGCAAACAAGTGAAGCCCCATCCGTGGATGCAGGCAGCATGCAAAACCACGCTCCCTCCAGTCCATGGAAAACCCTCTCTCTATGGAACTGGTCCCCGGTGCCCAAAAGGTTGGGGGCCACTTCTGTAGAGTAACTTTATTATTATTATTATTATTATTATATTTAGATGTATATCCCGCCCTTCTCCTCACGGACTCAGGGCGGCTGACAATCAGTTAAAATACATAAATAACAATTACAAATTTAAAATTAATTAAAAAAAAATATTTGAACATTGACCAATTAAAATATAATTAAAACCCCTCTAAAAATTACCCTAGGCCAGTCCTGCAAGCTGAAATAACCAAGTCTTAAGGGCGCGGCGGAAGGAAGGGAGATCAGGGATGACCCTGATCTCTGGGGGCAGTTCATTCCAGAGGGTGGGAGCTCCCACAGAGAAGGCCCTCCCCCTTGGGGTCGCCAGCCGGCACTGTCTGG